CGCCCCCCGGCCCCGCCAGCGGTCTCGGCTTCAGCCGAGGAAGGGCGAGTCCCCCGCCGCGCTCTGCGGGGGCCACCCGAGCCCGGGCGCCCTCCCGGCGAGCCCCAGCCGGGCGGGATGAAACCCCCGGGAGCCGGCGCCCAGCCGGCCTCGCAGAGGGCTCCGGAGCACGGCCTCAAGCTTCAGCGGAGAAGGGGCTGCCGGCCCGTTCGTGGCTTCAAACCCCCCGTCTCCAAAACTCTCCAAAGACTCCGGCTTAGACTGGAGCTATTACATCCCAAAGAGGTACTTCGGATGCCTGAAAGATTTATTTTGTTTCCTTTTAACTGGCAGTACCAGCATCTGCAAAAAAACCCCTCTAAACACGAGACAAGAACTCCCAAGCTCACGTTCCTCCTTTAAGCTTTGCAATACATACATAAAATACAAACTTCAAACAGCTGCAAAAATAGTGTCTTTGGAAGAAAATAGAGTTTCTACATCAGATACAAGAAAAGAGGCTTCTTCAGTACAACCCAGAGCCTTTGCAACAGAACGCAAAATCAAATACTTTTGTTGTCAAGAGGCTTCACAACCAATGTTCCCCGTGTTATCGCTTCACCGTCTAAGGCACCGTGTCGGGACAGCGCTGCTGGGTGCAGCGGTGCTTCAGACTCCCGCCCGGCCGCGGTCACAGCTCCGTGCACCGAGTCCAGCCCTCGGTGAGGCGGGGGGGTCCCAGACCCCCCCTCCATCCCTCCCTCCCTCCCTCCCACCCCAGGGCGCCAGCCCCAGCCAGGCTGTCCGGGCTCAGGGCTGGAAAGCAGCAGGTAGTTTCTCTACAGCAGCAACAACCCCCCCCTGGAGCTGGGACCTTCCCGTACAGCCAGTTTTCACTCCCATCCCCTCTTCCTGCAGCACGGCCGAGGCACCTGGAAGGCGACTGCCCAGGCAGAGGGAGACCAGACAGGCAGCTCACGTCTCAAGTGCCTCCGTCACCCTCGGTCAGGCAAGCTTTCCGGAGCACAGACCTGTGGAAGCCTGCATTGAGTCGCCTGCACTCGTCTCCCCGTTTAGCACGGCATTCTGAAAGCTCCAGGTTTGTTTCGGGGGGTAAAGGTGTCCGGGGGAGGCACGGTCAGGGATCCACTGCTCTCCCAGCCCTCTCTGTGCTCCGAGGGAGATGAGCTGTTCTTAATAGCGCAGATACACACCCCACTTTCTGCTCCAACACATCCGAGGGCAGCCGTCCTACAGGCCCCTTCTCCCCCCCTTCCCGCTCCCCAGGGCTCGGCAATCCCAGCCAGCCACAGGGGTGAGGGGTGCTAGGAAGCCCCACCTGAATTCTCCCAGCTCAACCTCCTTCGCAGAGCCACGGAGCACGAGTTTGCCTCTGCTCCCCGCAGCAGTGCCTGGCTGCTCTTCACCAGCAAAACAATCACACAGGAAACAAAGACAATTCAACACAGGAAAAGTGCTTTGAGCAGGGGAGGCTCGGAGAAACAAGCCTCTCCAGCAGCGAGGAGTCCCGTGGCACACTGTACTTCACAGTTTCTATCGTCCCTGGAGGAAGCCTGCTGGGGTTCTCGATCCCAGGGCCGCCTCTTGGCTGTCACGTCCCACTTTCAAGGCACTAGTCTCCACAGGCTGGCAGAGACGCGCTGAGGAGCCAGAGCTGCTGTTGCTGGCTAGCTTTCCCAGAGGCTTCACACCACGAGAGAGCTGTGGAAGACGACGCTCTCCTCTGGCTGGCCGCGCTTCCAGTGTTCGTAATTCAGTGAAGGAGACTTGGACACCTCGCTGAAGCTATCTACTGCAGCGTCCTTCCGCACCCCAAGGAACGGGGTGGGGGCTGTGGGCTGGCAGGATGTAAACGTGCCCGTGCCAGGGCTGGAAGGAGGTGGAAAGCCCCTGAAGAGGAAACCCACGTTTGGGAAGAGAGGCTTCACCAGGCTGACGGGGCAGAAGGCAGAACCGGTGGGGTTGAAGTGCACTTTGTTCTTATCTGGGCAGGAAGGCTGAAAAGTCTGATCGGGGCTGGGGGAGCTGAAGGAGAGAGAGACAGAGCGGACATGGTTAGGAACAGACACTCCCAAGGGCACCGAGCAGCCGGTGCCTGCAGCCACGGGGAAAACACCTGGAGTTGTGCACTCTTCAAAGAGCCTGACTAAAAGCTGAACTGCCTCTGTGAGCTGGGCCGCTCTTCAGGTGCAGAGCGGCGTGAAGAGCCTGTTTTGTTTTGAAAGCACACTTATTTATAGGGGAAGCACCTCTTCTCCTCAAGAGGCTCTGCTGGCCGAGAAAAACCTCCTGCCTGGGAAGGGCACGGAATCACAAGATCCTTCCGAGCGTGTCTGAGAGTTAGCAATTCAGCTCTCAGCTCTTCCCACCCGGGCCCGAGCAGCCACGTTTTTGTTGGGAGTGTTTTCCTGGAGGCTGCTCCCTGCTTTTAGAACAGGGTAGGGATGGCGACTGCAGCAACAGAAGCCTCAGCTGCCCCCATCCCACAGGACCAACCTCACGCGAGTTCTCTTCTGCCAACAACTCCCCATACTTACGAAGCTTCTTCAAAGGCCCGGACCTTCTCGCATCCCTCAGGAGGTTCCCGTTTAAACATGTAGCTGTGGTTGGGCCGAGGAGAAGAAGCAAAGGCCAGGACTGGTGAAGGGCTGCCCTCCTCTAGCAGGGAAAAGATAAGGTTCTGAGAAATTTTTAAAAGAATCCAACAGCGCTCTTTAACTCAACACCAGACACGCTCTTCTAGACCCTGGGGCTGCAGGCTACAATACCCCACGGCTGCGGCATTTTATCTGTGTAGTTCCCAGCTCACATCCTCCATCTAGTACTGGAAACCACCCGCCTGGAGGGTAACTGCTGGAGCTTTAAAAGTCCACTACAGTTTAGCCAAGTTGGCCGAGACCCTCTCTCCCATTGGAAGCTGCAGCTTCCAACCCAGCACGCAGACAGGGAGCAGCCACTGCACCGAGGCTGTCGTAGCACTGGCCCCCTCTGCCTCCCCTGACCTCCCCAAGTCCCTCTGCTTTCAGTGTTTACCTTTCTCCTTCGGATCTGGCTGCACCTCGTCTGCCGCAGAGGAGGGCTCTTCTGCTGCCAGTCTCACCGGGGTGTGCGGAGAAAGGCGGAGAGGCACGGAAGGGGAAG